GCACCAAAGTGTAGAATTGACTTGGATGTATCAATGTGGGTCAGAAAGAGAAAAACACAACAACTGGCAGCAAATATCTGAATATCCACAGAGGTAAATCCTCTGGTTCCTAGTGTAGGTAGATCTACATACAGTCATTCGCCCCCGTTGTATCCGCAGTCTTGCTCTTTTGGACCTTTTAAACAACCAATTCCCAGGAAGCGGGTTTTGATTGTGTTTTGGGAAGACTTTGGTACCTAACACTTTCCGATGCTGTTTCCTCACTCCCAACTCGCGCTTCATCCCAGCTTCAGAATGTCATTCTGTGCTTCAAGAGATGGATTCGTCAAGGCGAAAGCTAAAGCATTGTAGCCCTGGTGGTCCTGCACGAGGCCCAGCTATCCATTAAAACGCGTAGATGGGGGGTGAAAGTGGTCTGATTCAGAAAACGGGGCACTCCATATCTGCATTTATGTTGTCAAACTTCCTTCCCACAATCATGGTTGTGCAAACACAATCCTCAATCAGTCATCACAGCAGGTCCCATCAGTGGTAGTACCTGCTCTCGTATCAGCAAGAGAGGAAGCTTCAACGTGCAACCAACTTTCACTTAAAAGGTGGGTCACTTCTGAGCACAAGACGCCCCAACTAACCCAAAAATCAGGAAAGCATCGGCTAAAAGGTCCGGCATTCGAAACACGACGGGAACACCACCACAACAAAACCAAGAAGAGCAACAAACACACCAACAAATGGCCGACCACAAAACAACCCACACAGGACACAGGATCAAGACAACGATCGAAGCACAGCCCACAAATATGATCGAGATACTAAAGAGACCCCGCAGCCAGACCGGCTTCAGAATATTTCAGAATACAGCGAGTGTGACCACACATCTCCGTCTTCTGAGAGGGCAACGTGTATTATGTAACTGTACGTGAATCGCTAAAGACTCGACCCTTCAAGTTTGACGGCTATACTATATAGTTCGCTAAGTGTTGATCGATCAGCTTTGACTGCCATGAAGAACAAGTTTTGTCGTAGCGCTTGCTGCAGGCAAACATTTAGAAGTACATTATTTCTTGGACCTGATGCCACACAAACACAAAGTCGTGGGTGTGAACAGTGTGAACAGAACTGACTGTGACCGTGTGACCGTGGCATATGTACCACGGCCATTTCTTCGGCACTGGCAAACTCAGGGATTTTTGGAAGAGTGACCAGCCCGCATGACTGGAACCAGCATATTCTATTCGGCAACGACCTTGGACCTTTTCTTGCCTTTCTAATAGTACGGTTGTGGCCCCATGAAAAGGACATGTTGTACATGTTGTACATTAGTGGTACAGCATCATACAGTCTGTAAGAATAGATCCTTGTTGGTTGATGTCTCTTCCCTGAGCTTAACCCAGCCTGCCATTCTGACCCCACTTCATCTTGGAGGTTGGCATAAAAACGTCCTTCCCAGTGTCCTGTGTAGCCACCAGCTCAGGCCAGTGCTGCAGCAGGAGCCGAACAATCTCGGGATTGTGGAGTGCGGCCTTCGGCGGACAAAATCAAGGGACCCTCCTCTTCCAGGACCCTACATTGAAGGGGGACAGGAAGGCGAGGTCAAGGCCAATTTTGCACCCAAAACCTTTTACACCAACTTGTTGTAAACGGTCGCAGGACGGGCTAGGCCATTGCCCGACATGAAGACACTCAAGCCATGCGCAAGAGCATACAAATTACCTTATTTCGAGTGATCCCAACAGGACATGTCAATCAGTGGCTTTCATGCCATGGTGAGTCGGTGAGGAACATGTTGCCATGGTCGTGGGCTTGGTGGCTTTTGACCTTGCTTGTGGTTGTGTGTTGGTGATTGTGTGATTGTGGTCAGGCAGTGCCCACTGCCATCTGGCGCTTGCAGTTGAGGTCCGGTATAGCGCCCGCTGCGACCATGCACTTGCAGTGGAGGTGTAGCCCATTGCGGTAGTCAAGGAGAGGAGGAGAGGAGAAGGCGGAGGAGAAGAGCTCTGATAAAATCTAACAACCCTCACCTGGCAGGTAGAGAAATACCTGTACATAAGACTCCTGGACAAAGCACGTCTGAAGGCTTGAACGGGAACTTGAGGAATCGGAATTTCCACATCATGCAACTGTGTCGAAATGTCGAAAGTTAACTTGTTCGAGGAACAAGGTCTAATTACGAACAACAGGATGAAGATCATTCCTATAGCATGTGGTGCAACCTTCTTGCTGCCAAGAATCTACATGCAACGCATTCCTGAGGCTCAAAGCGGCTGTGAACGGATGGCGCTGACCAACTCAGGGTCTGTTTCTCTTCTGTTTCAATGAGCCAAAGAGAACCAATTTGCATCTGGGCAAATAACGATTCACCACTTCTTCCCCATCCACTCCGAGTTGCCGCCCTTTGCGGTCGCACTGATGGCCTTGGGCTTTGTAGCGGACCAGCAGCCGGACCACCTCCGTGCCATTGCTTTGGAACGGCTTAGGGGCCCTGAGAGGGTGAATCCAAGGTAGGCAACTGGCCAGTTTAGGCTTTCGCAGCTTAGCCCAAACCAGCGGAACAAATCAAGAATGGTTGGTCCTTCTGTGTCCTTTAATTCAAAGAACTACAGCAAATGCGTCCCTTACTATATGGACAGAAAAGACTTGCTGACGCTTCGACCAGAAAAGCTTCTTGTTCCACAACCCTTCAATGGCACCTCCTCATGGCCGCGAGAGCTGCTCAGCACCAATGGAGAAGCACCATGGCCTGGCTGAGTATGGCCTTGTAGGCACGTTAAGGTGAAACAACTTGTTGTACCACTTATGAACGGAATAAACGTATCTCAAAGCTTTTGAGCACTGCTCGTATTTGGTGACAGTAGGATCGCGAAGGCACACATATATGCCTTTTCTTTTGCTGCTGTGCCGGATAGAATAATGGCATGGGGAAGGATATCTTATCAAGGTCATATTTGTAACATCAGAATACTTGAAGAGTCTGGGTGTGAAGTGCAGCGTGGTGAATTGTCATGTCGTGAAGTCATGGCCCCTCAAGTCATCGATCGAGTCACTCCTGGCCATGAGGCCTCTAGAGGATTTGATGTGAAGCGCAATGAGTTGTCAGAACATCAAGGGCATGTCTAGATGATTCTAGATGTAAGGTCATGCCATGTTGTTTGCGGGGACGCGGTGTGCGTGGTGTGCGGTGTTTTCTGGGCCCCTGTAAGTATCGGAGATTCTGGGGAGGACCCAACCGATAACGACGAAGCTTTTTCTGTGACATGACAGTGTGCTTGTTGTATTTCTGATGTTTCCAACAACAGCCCATCTCTAGGCTGAACCTGCCTTGTCCGTAGCAACAAACTTCATTGATTTGATTAATTACTTACGATCTCAGGCTTCAAGGATGGAGGAAGCTCCGGTAGATGACACGCACTGTGAAGGAGATTGAGAAGTGAAGGTGGCAAAGCTGGAATGAAGCTTCCACCCAGTTTCCCACAGCGATCCCAAAGGACCTCTCCCCGGCCCGTGAGGCACCTTCAGTGGCCAGCACGTCTGCTCGCTTCTGCAAGAGCAGGTCGCAAACCTGGTGCGGAAGGCCACACCAGTGTGACACAAAAAGGCCTCTTGGAGCTCAGCACCTGCGGAAATATGGACTTGGGTGGTTCATTTGGTCAAGTGTTTTGCTTCAAATCATGGCACACTGATAAATACTTGGCCCATCCGGTCAACCAAAGGGTTTCTTGTTTTGTGCAAACTCATAGCTGCACAGCTACCACGGTCTTAGGACACCTTTCCAGCCTCGACATGTCCCCGATTGGCAGCAATGTGGAGGGCTGTGGCATCTTCTTCGTTGCGGGTGGCCAAGAAGGCACCCAGGTTGCGCCCTTCGAGCTGCACATGTTCCTTTGCGAAGCGGGGATGTTAGGGTGTTACTGTAACGTCGTGAACCACTGTGAGGCATGTAGGAAGCCGTGAACAAATCATAGAAAAAGACTGGGCCAAAAGACGAACACTTACATTGAACTTGACCACACTTAACAACGGATGCATTGTGCTTTGAACAGTTGCATGCCAATCGAGTCTTTCCCGGAGCATGGAATTGCTTTTTTGTTTACTAAGCTCTATGGATCCACTGAGAGCAGAAGAGACTGAGAACCTCTGTGCCAATCTGCCCAAGAGTCTCAAACACACAGCATTTGCTGCTATTGTTTCATGCAATTCTTGGCCAATACATTTCTGGGTACTTTAGCTCACAGTCTGGAGGTCAGGGGTTGCACCCCAAAATTTAAAACTGCTGTCTCACTGCTGACAACCCCAAAATGACGCCTAGCATAAGGGGCTGGTGTAACATGTAACTTGTCATGAATCGGAGTTAGCGGCCACTACACTACACACCTGAAGGCAGGAACATTGATTCAACGTCCATGATCCAGAGTTTTTGGGAGACTGGACTCCCTGCCAAACATTCACCATGGCTGGCCGTTCTGATTGGTGCCAGGCAACAAGAACCTCCTCCAGTTGCAAGGGGTCGCCTCACAGGAGCACCAAACAGTTTGCAAGCTAGCAAAACTTGCTATCACTGATGTCAGTGGCAATCATAACACGCGATGACTTATCATGCTTCTGCAAAAACGGATTACGCCGTTACGCATGCTTCGCCCATAAACCTTTCTTTACCCTGACACAATCTCCCAAAATTGGAAATCACCTCAGATCTTGCCCCTTAGGGTATGAATTTCACCAATGGATCCGTGCTTTCCATCTCCACCCAAAAATGAAAAGGACCTTTCGCTCGGCTGACTTCCTCTGCAGTGGATGAGAGGAATCCTGGGCCAGGTGAGACAACTGTCAAGCCCGGGCTTGAACAGATCTTCCCAGAAACCCTTGTACGGCAAGCCCCACCTGTGACTGCTGCATCCAACAGCAAGTGTGCCAGACTCGGCTCGCTGTGTCGTCCGGGTCGTCCTGGGGGGACATCAAAGGACCGAGAACAGCAGTTGCTTGTCAGGTTGATGCCAAACCCAGTGGCACAAAATTCACTGTTGGATCGCCCGGAATCTTTTTTTTTGGCATTTTCCAAACGATCGAACGAAGCAACGTGACACATCGAGCAGTCTTCAGCTGTCCTGCGTGCAACGCTCTGGAGACTCTGGGGTCTTCCCGCTCTGGTGACAGGGATCGATCAAATCCAGCCCTATGCAGGTGACGATAAGACGTCGCAGGACGAGGACCTCGAGGTGGCATGGGCTCGGGAGGAAATTGCGAGCCTGCCAGGCTTGGAACGAGACTTACCGACTCACCCAATTGTCGGTGTCCTTGGATTAAAACAGGACGGCTCATGCATTCTATGGACATGATTTACTCAGGTCATTCAATGGATAAGTGGCATGTATGGTCACATATGGTCACTCATTGCGACTGCTGCAGATTTCACCGTGCTTCAAATTGTCAACGGCAGCCCTTCATCTATGTTCCCTTCTAAAGCTTCCTCTCTTGATCCTCCCATTGCACAATGCGATAATAAGCGAGCCTGACTTTGCTGCGCAAGTCAAACGTTGGAAGCGCTTGTCGGATTCCTCCTTTGAGAACCAATGGCTATTCCACGGCTCTTTCTGTGGAGAACTCCGCTCAGGCGAAGCACCGCGTGCCGAGCCTGCATAGCCTGCAACGAATTACTATTTCCAACATGACGATCGCTTTCTCTAAAAGCTTCTATTTACCTTACACCAGACAAAAAAAATGGAATAAAGTAGATGAAAGGACATGGATAGGGATATTGGGTTGCATGATGTGGCCTCCCCCAATCTCTTGAGACGAGCCTGCTCTGCTTCCACTGCTCACATGCTCCGCGCGGGGCGCCCGGGGCGTGGCTGCTCGTAGTCCGCGCACGGCACGGAGGGCGGAGCCGAGCTCTGGCGAGGAGGCTCGCTGTGAGTAGCCATGGCCACGGTAGGACGAGTGCATTCCCCACACCAAGTAGCGGCTTGCAGCTCTTTGGCCACGTAGCTTTCATGAGTCATTCATGATCAACCCATTCTGAGATGTCAAACCTATCTCTTCATTGTCGCGATTCTGTGAATATCTCCGTTCCAACTGAGCCGCTGTTGGTGCGAGGAGATAGAAAGCCTCTTCGCACCCAGAGTGGATATAGAGTTGGTTGCTTGATGTCAAACGCTTCTGATGTAAAGCTGAACTGTCTTTTGAATTGTGATTTCAACTTACAATTTCCGGGCTGAAGAGGCTTTCAATGGCTCCCCCGTGCTTTGTATATGCTTATCTTCTGATCATGCTTTCTGGCATTTGGACTTCGATATTGTGGTCAGGTGTGCAATTGAGATGCAACGGTGAGGTAGCTGAAGAGGGGCCAGGGGAAGTCGAAGGACTTGTCGGCAAGGAGCTTCAGGTGAAACACTATTAGCTTGCAGTCATTCTGGACATCAGCATTCTTTAACTAGATATCTCATGGCGAGTCTCTTGCCAAACTGTCTCGATTCATCCGGGAAATCATACGTAAGTCATCCCGTTTGTTTGACGCCAATGCTCACTCACCTACGCCCTCGGATCTTCCCAGGCTGGAGAGAAAATGTCGAGGACACCATTTGGCTCATGCAATTTGGTACCACAATCTTCGCTGCAAATCTCCAAATCCCTCGAGGCTCTTTAGCATCTTGTCTGAATCCAAAGAACAAAAACATCCAAAAAACATACAATGCAAATCAATTGTTTTGTTGGATCTAAGTCTGTAAAAGCACAAAAGCACGCAACAGTTCTTTCTCCATTTGGGGAATGTCCGGCTGAGGAGGAGAAAACGTCCAGTTGATCCAGAAGTCCAGGCGAAGCTGGCACTGCTTTGCCGCTTTCCCCCTGCAGTGGCTATGATGCACAACATGGCTCGAGTTGTATCAACCTCTTCCACGTGTACCAAGATGAACTCTATCCAAACATCGCAAGGTTTCTTAGTTGTAGCTTAGGCTCGGTGCAAGTGGTAGGCAGCTTGGGAGGACTTCTTAGATGTTGGGACCCGTACAAAGTTATCTGACAAGATCTGACAAGCCATTCATGGCACAGTGCTTGAATGGGAGCAGTGCGATGCAAAACAATCACCAAATCACTGGCGAATGGTCTTTGTCAACTTGGCTCTTCCAAGAGCTTCGCCTTTCTCAGGCAAACAAGTGACGACCTGTTAGCCAAAACGTCGCCCTCTCACTGGATGGCAAGTATGAACAAAGATTAAATCCTCAAACATATCACAGTGTTATGTGGCAATCGGATGATATCGTTGAAATCCAGGTGATGGTACCAAACAGAATAGAGTTTGATAGAGATGTGCAGCTGCACAAAGCATTATTGTATCTTCCAGTAAGGGGACTTGTCCTGCCGTGTGAGTGAGCATTGTAGTGAGCAAAGTTGCAAAGAGGAGCCCGGAGGGATGAGATTGCAAGAACTCTCCCACATTCCTCCAGACTTTGTCCAACCTGGAAACCCGGTGAACCAGTCGACTTCCCGATCGGAGAAGGCACCGTGACATGCATTCACGCAACCATCCGGGTCATGCGCAACGCGCACGTGTAGCCCATGCACAAACGCCAAGCCACAGGCGGCAGGCGGTATGCAGGTCCAGCACATGCCCAAAGTTTCTTCACCAAGCCTGGCAGGATCATGTGATCTTCCTGAGTCGGGTCTGCCCAAAACAGCCAGTACTGAGCTGATCGAACAGAGTTCCAGAATTCCGTTCCTTCATGAAATTACTTCCAAAGATTGTCGTGATATGTGAACAGGTGAAATTGCTTCTAAAGGAAGACGCTAGCTCTACTTCACTACCTGACTTCCACCACTCCAAGTCCTGGAAGGGCGAGGGGGACCGGGGAAAGACTTCAAACGGCCTGTCACATGCTAAGCTTCAACCCTCCCCTCCAAACCGAGTCAGTAGGGATCTCAAGAACCTCAACTATCAGTGCTGCGATTCAATGCCTCACCTGGCCCACCGAGTCGGTTGGTCGTTCTCTTCGGATGTCAACCCAACCCTCCCAGAATCGTCCAAACAGGGCAAGTTCCGATCCACACAGGTCCACTGACCGGGGTCGGAGGGTCTCAAGTTGCAGCCCATCCAGGTTTCAGAACCTGCAACACTTAGGTGTTCACTTTTAGCATCCTTTAGCATCCTTTAGCTCTAGCATGCTCTAGCATCGGGCGCATCGAGCCCGGTGCCTTCAACATGGCTGATGGCCATGTCGTCTGCCACAGCCTCGAAGTGGATGACAACGTGAGCGTCAGGCGGAAGTGGATGGCATGGCATGGCGGCATGGCCTCGCAACGATGCTCGGAACACCAAGCAATGGAGTTTAACGGTTTTCCGCCAAACTGTGTGTGAAAGTGTTGCAACACTTTTTGAACCGCACGAGTATGATGTTGTATGACTCCGTATCAGGTCAAGTGTGGTCAACACTGATATCGCAAGTTCATCCTGTAAACTGTTTACAGGCAGCAGGTCTTGAAACGGGAGAAGCCAGAATATATACAGTAAAGCTAGATCGCAACTCATCATCTATAGAAAGCTATGGAACTCGAGGTCAGACTTATCAAACTCTGTTCTCGATTTTTGCGCACAGTGTGCCTGTTTTCTTGAGCATTGAAGCAACGCAAGGAATGCAACAAAACTTGTGGCGAATCTAGGATGGCCAAATGTGCCCGGTTGCTTCTAAAGCCACCCGGCCTCTTGTTGCCGCAGCTACTTCTGAAGACGTTTCCCTTTTTTACGCGTCTTGAGCCGAAATGTGCATCGAAGCACTTGGATCCTCCAAGAAACTTCTTTCACAGCCGTGAGATGCCATGAGGTACAAAGGATGCATGAGAAGCATGAAGTTACTGTTGCGCATCGATGCCATTTGCTCCAAAGGGATGATTTGGGGCATACCCTCATGTTCAAACTGCTCAAGTCTTTCCCCTCTGCCTTTCTCTGCAAAACTTTGATACGACTATTGCACCCAACAGCTGGATTCGGCCATGCTGGAATCCAAGTATCCAATGCGTCCAATGGACTCTCTTGGTTGATCTGGGAACCCCAACATGATTCTTGAAAGAACAGCTCAGCCAGCTACAGAAGTGGGCCCTCCGATATCTTCCGCTTGACTCATCCGAGCCTTCTCTAGACTGTCCACCGTCGACCCGACCAGGCAAAGTGACTCCAGCCCTCCCCACATGCAGCCAAAACTCGACAGGTCGGTTGCTTCGTTCACGATCTGAATGAGGCCTTGACCTCCGGAAGACCGTGTGCGAGTTTTGTCTCAAGAGCGCAAACAGCCTGGTGAAACATTGACAAGTTGGTGCATGGCACTGCTCTCTGGATCGTGAAAGAGGTTTTTGAGGTCTCTTGGATTCGAGCGGATCAACCGTTGGTCGCTTGAAACACTTCTGACTTACCATGCTTGGGCAAATTAAAGGTAGCTTCAAAATGCTTCAAATGTGAGTTTGCTCCATGGTACGCACGTGTGGATCTCACCTGTTGATGTATTGAACCGTGCGGGTGGGCTGTTTGATCCGGAAAACAAACTTCCCCCCTCTGATTGCAGCTTGCAGGTTCTGCAAGGTAAACAATACAAGAGAAGGTCCCACAAGAAATCCGCCGACCCCGGCCTATAGCCAAAGCCTAGGCGGGGAGGCGCCTGGGACACCGCAGGGTGAAGCAGTTGGCCAAGCCTAGCAGAACCCTTCAAGCACTTCCAAAGGCGCAGGATGCAGCAGTTGGCCAAGCCTAGCAGAACCCTTCCAAGCACTTCCAAAGGCCTGTCCGAGGCCTCACCAGCTGGCCGGCCTGTTGCGGCCTCTCTGTGGCCTGTCCGAAGCCTGCCTCCTCTCTTCTTATGGGCTTCGAAGGCGACGTTTAGGCATTTTGGACCGCCTTCAAAAGCTTTTCGGCCTCTTGCGGCCTGTCTGTGGCCTGTCCGAAGCTTCTCGGCAGCCGGCAGGCCTCTTGCGGCCTCTCTGTGGCCTGTCCGAAGCCTGCCTCCTCTCTTCTTATGGGCTTCCGAAGGCAACGTTAGGCATTTTGGACCGGCTTCAAAAGCCTCTCGGCAGCCGGCAGGCCTCTTGCGGCCTCTCTGTGGCCTGTCCGAAGCCTGCCTCCTCTCTTCTTATGGGCTTCCAAAGGCAACCTCAGGCATTTTGGACCGGCTTCAAAAGCCTCTCGGCAGCCAGCAGGCCTCTTGCGGCCTCTCTGTGGCCTGTCCGAAGCCTGCCTCCTCTCTTCTTATGGGCTTCCGAAGGCAACGTTAGGCATTTTGGCTCGGCTTCAAACGCTCCCCAGAGCCTCACCGCAGCCTTGCCCTCTTCTCGGCAGCTGGCAGGCCTGCCTCTTCTCTTCTTATGGGCTTCCGAAGGCAACGTTAGGCATTTTGGCTCGGCTTCAAACGCTCCCCAGAGCCTCACCGCAGCCTTGCCCTCTTCTCGGCAGGCTTCCGAAGGCGACGTTTAGGCATTTTGGACCGCCTTCAAAAGCTTTTCGGCCTCTTGCGGCCTCTCTGTGGCCTGTCCGAAGCTTCTCGGCAGCCGGCAGGCCTCTTGCGGCCTCTCGGTGGAAGCATACGAGGTTGCCAGGAACGTAGTTGGTGCGAATGGGAGTGCTCTTCCTTAAAAGGGCGGACCTGATCCTTCTGCTGGAGTCGACCTTGCTAAAGGCCATCTTGGCTGCCTGCCTGATTTGAAGGCGAAGGGCAAAGGTGTCTTCGGACTCTTCAACTTCTTCCTGGACGGAGAGGAATCGCCCTTCTGCTTCTTCACTTGTCAGGGAGGTCTCATCAACAGGCAGTTTGCCAAGCACCCATTGATATGGTGTGAAGCCTTGATGGTTCACCCTCATGTTCTTCACTCCACACGTTTCGGAGATGAGGGTTTTGATGTTGTTGGTGCCAATGATATTGCGCTCCTCCATAGCCGCATACATCAGTTCTTTGAAGATGCCTCCTTGGCGTTCTCCTCTTCCAAGT